GTGCGTGCTGGCTCAGGTGCGTCACTAACCTGGCGCTGGCAGCATAGCAGGCTGCCAGGACGGCTGGGAGGGGTTGGCCTCTGGCTATTGGCAGGTACCTGCTGTCTGTCTGCATGTGAGATCCATAGGAACTAGGCAGACAGCAGGGTGTACTGTGTTCATGTCATGGTTGCACTGTGGATGCCTGCCAAAAGCTCTACAGATGTAGCCAGAGTGGGTGGCAGCTGGTCTTTCCCGCAAGACATGCATCAGCCAAAAAGCTGGCTTTCTGCCCAGGCAGTGGTGATCAGCGGTTCTCTGTCAGCCTTTATCGGAGGTCCCTCGGCTAACAAAAGCTGTGATGGCTTGCGGGGGGGCACCACAATGCTGGGGAAGAGGAGCTGTGCTTCTACCTGTTTCATAGACAGGGTCAGAAATTGAGAGCACAGCTCCAACTCCCTCTTTTTGTCATGCTGGGCAACTTGCTTAATCTCTGAGCCTCTGTTACACTACTGGTAATGCTTCTCTCCCTGTACTTGGTGAGCTTGGTGGATCAAGAGCACTGTTCAGGCTGTAGTGTTGGTCCATCTTTGTGTGCTAAGGAGAGGGAACTAGAAGCAGGAAAAGAAATAGTGAAAGCTTCTGACTGCAGCAGGTTAAAATGCAGATAAGGTATTTTCCAGTCTTTTCTCTAATGCTGTTGTGCTCCTCGAAGACATCAGTCTTCACTCAGAAGACTTACCACGTGAGTCTGGACAGGGTTGGAGTGAGCTCAGGAAATGGAGATGTCGGAAGACACCTGCGTTAGGACTGCATGCGCAGCTTCCCTTCTGTGGGGGGAAGGCAGACTGAACACTTTCATGTTTTCACTGGCTGATCTAACAATTGTCATAGTGGTGGAAGTTGCTTTGCTGTTGAAGTTTTAACATCTTTGCAGTGTTACAGAGGCATTAAAGAACTACTCATTTCCTATCAGGAGGCTTACAAGTATGCCAGTCCAGCCTTGAAAGAAAGAGTGATCATTGAGAGGACACACATGTGCTCATCTGCTCTGTAGAGGAAAACAGATGATTCTCAAAGTATTTCTTCCTAGAGCCACAGTGTTGTTAATTCATACCCCAGGTACTTCAGGTCACTTGATGTCTCCTGACATCAGAGCCAGGAGTGATGGCTGCCTGCTACTGAGGAAGTAGCGGGGGGGGCGGACTGGGGGGGAAGGAACCAAACAACAAAAAAATGGATGGCTGTCTCCTGAATCACTTATACCTGTAGTGTTTCCAAACAGCTTCCGACAGCTGGATGGGTACTGCTACATCTGGTAACCTGTAAAGATCCTAAAACTCTCTAAGACCCTGTGATACTCAGAGTGAGCAGAACAACTGGTTTGTAGTGGTTTACTTGTTCACGGAGTAAAGTACTTGCTTAATGTCAAAGTTTCCCATTCTCAGGCCACAGCACAATGGAATCCTGTATCTCATCTCTTGCTGAGTAGTCCGCCCTTGGGGCATCTCTATCTGATCCACCTTTTACACCTGCCTTCTAGACAGCTTCATTTCTGCTTCAGACAAGACTCAAGTTAATTAGGTTCTCGCATACATGATACTCTTTAAAAGTCTGCATTAGTGCTGACATGGCATACTGTAAACAGCCTTAGAAACTGTAGCTCCTAACATATCTATGGAGTGAGTTCAGCTCAGTCTGGTTGGGGATTAATTTCACTCGCTGGCCTTCAATCCTGTTCTGTAGGAGTTGAGAAATAGTTTAGGTCTTGGGTTCCCTGTGGAGATGGATCCAGGGATGTGAGCCTTGCCCATGAGGCTTTCTGGATCTCATACCTCTGCCTATGTCCCAATCCCCTTCGTGACTTAGGTTTAAGTGACTTTATAAATTGTCTTTCTGATTTTTCTGCCTTGTGTGCTCTGCAGATATAATGGCAGAAGTTAGTCAGGCTTTTCTAGTTAGACTCTGCCCACACCCCCAGCTAGTTATGGGAGTGTTCCCTTTTACAGCAAACTCAAATTCAGGCTGACAGAATTTCTTCCCTGAAGACGGGCAACTCTTCCTGCAGCTTATGTCCCTCAGACTCTTCTGAGCAGCATTCAATTGCAGTTGGAGCAGCAGTCACCATTCTCTTGTCCTGTCACCCCAGACTGCATTGCCAGGAGAAAGATTGAGAAGAGGGTCAGGCTAGTGAAAAAGTTGCTATCGTCCTCTGTTTTGGTGATTTCTGCTCAGCCCCTTTCCTTTGTCCCCTAAAGATCTCCACAGTAGAAAGATTCACCAGCTTCCTATGGCCTGATTTGGCCTGTAGGCAGGATCACAGGTCTTGGGGGGAATTTGGATATCCTAGACTGACCACCTCTGCCCCCTGTTTTGCTGAAGTTGCATCATCTAGGGCTGAAAGCACCAGTGGGATGTTCTGGGTGGTGTGTCAGGAAGCTCATCAGTAGCACTGATGGAGCTCCGAGATCTGAGGTCTTCCTGTTGGTTATGAACATGACAAGTCACCCTTGGGCTCTTGACCTGTTTCTTTGGTATAACAGTAAGCCATCGCAGATGCTTTTGTGTCTCTGCTGAGTCCTGTAGTACTTGGAGAGCAACCAAATCTGTCCTAGGATTTTGTCCTTCTTCAAAACCCTAAGATATTAGGTTGACCATAGCTGAGACTGATTCTCTACTAGCATGATTAGAATTTGACTTTATAAATTCCTATATGCATACCTATCTGCTTTGGCCTGGGTGGGTGTGGTATTATTTAAAATAATGCCTAATAAGCTGATTTGAAGGGATTTATTGAACAGGAGCTTGTGTTCCTTCCAATGAATTATGTTGCTTAAGGTTAGTATTTGGTGACAGGATTTTTGTTGGCAATGCTTGTGGTTAGTTTTTTCTCTCTCCTCGTTTTTGTTCAAAGTTCTAGCCCCATTATTGAAGCTTTGATCAAACATGAGAGTATTGCTGTTCCTCTAAACATGTGAGAGAATCTCACAGCTTAGTTGAAGGCAATAAATACAGCTTTTCCTCTGTTTCTGCTGTTTCTAGTTCAAGAGATGATGGGTGTTGCTGTTGGACTGTGGATTTTTTTGCCTTACAATAGAGGAAATGAGGTGGTATTGTCTTGCCCAATTCGGAAGGAATCCTCCGAAAGGATGCTGTCAATACAAAGAATAAACACTTATTTTTTGAAACCTCTGAAACTTTTACTGCAACAAATTTCTCTCCCCTTTCTCCTCGGTTTTTGAACCCTCTTGAAGGACACTGAGGATTGGTGATTTAAAGTCTGTTTTTTGCACTACTATTTTATGAGAACCTAGAAGATGAACGAAGTCTGCTGTTTCCTGTCTATAACCCCTTGCTGCTTTCTTCCTGCATGTTGAAATGGTTTGATCCTTTGGCAGCAAGGTACCCTTATTAGATGGACTTTATATAAATATTGTCAGTGTTACCTGTGAGCAGAGGTAGCCGATGTCTATGTCTATTGCATGCCAGCTGTCTGAAGGAGCATGTGGATGTTGCTTATAGGAAGCCTTGAAACTTCTCCAGTACTTTTTCTTTACTGAAAAAAGTGCTGATATTCTGAACCGTGAACCAGGCACCTTCTAGAAATAGAAATGAAGGCTGGGTTTCACTCTGGAACTAGAAGTAAGCTAATTTCTGGGAACAAAGACTGGTTGGTATTAAATTATGTATACTTATAGGATATTAGCTTTCTTGGACCGGTGTCTTTCAGTCTAGTCCTAGTCGGTAGTCTAGGACAGGATGTAGTCCATCTTGGCTCTTGAGCATGTATTAACCTAAATAAAGTAGAATCGAATTGTTTTGGTGGCATGGAAGTCTTTATATCCAGAAGGAGAATTATTTCAAGCCTTAGTCTGGAAAGTTAGCACTTTCAGAGGCTTTTTTTCCTAAAGTTTAAATGCCTTAGGCATTTTCTTCAGATCAGCAGGTAAGGAAGGAATTGGTGTGCATAAGGCAGTAGTGGTTAGTGGTGCATGTTAACCTTCAGGATCAAATGCTAAAGTTCACTGATCCTGTGATTCAGATTTTTTTCCAGTATGTCACCAGACCATCAACTCTGCCTGATCTAAGCTGTGTCTGTTTTGTGTGCATTTGTCAGAAGAAGGAAGATGAGGCCAGGGACCCTTTCCAGGCCTAGCACAATTCAGTAATGGAAAGAGCTTGAATCTGCTGGTGAAAAACCCCACACTTTCCAAGACTTCAGCCAGATTTTTGTCTTCAACGGAAAAGAAGCAGGCAGGCTTTATGAACAACTGGCTGGAGTAGGAGAAGTGAACTTACTGCTTGCATTTTATATTTACTAATTTCTGAAACAAAAAGCCTGCTAGAAGGCTTCCTTGCTTCCTTGTGGTTGAAGTGTTTGCTGTGTTTTATATCCAGCATCACTGTAGTCGTCCATGCCACACTAATTCAGCTTGGGTAGGAACTTGTGAGATTTTTGGTCTCCTCAAGGGTAGAGGGGCCTCTGCAAGCGTTCCTGTATAAAACCTTTTCCTAAGTTGTGTTCAGGGTCTTTTGGTGATGGCGCCGTGAAGCCCTTTCACCCTTGGTGTCCCTAGAAGTAGGTATCCTGTGAACTGGAGTATTTTCTATTACTTAGGGTGACTTTCAAGCTTATGGAATTGCAGACAGTCCAATAGAGATGTTTTCTGCTTACTTCACTGGATCGGAACCGTGGAAGGCAGGGCAGAGGGAAGATTAGGTAATGTGGGAAGAACAGGGTCAGGACACTCTCCATCGGTCTTGCGCAATACCTCTGCTGCATCTTTTTTTTTTCTTTTTTATCCTATTTATACAAGTCGTCTTCACTTTGTTTTGCAGCTTCTTTTTTTCCCTATGGAAGTGGGACGTGTATCTTGCCCCTACGAGAGACTGTTTCCTGATAATTTTTTTTTCTAACTTGCATGATCGGCAGCTTTGAAGAGGATTCAGTCTCGTGACCCACAGTACTCGGTCTCCTGAAGAAAGTCCAGTCTACTGTGCCATCACCTTCACCAAAGAACATGGAAAAGTTGATATCAGAAAGGCCTGTTTCTGTTTCTAAGGTATTCATTGGTCTTTGGGGAATACTATTTGCCTGTCTTTCTGTCACCAGAATTTGGGAAAGCTCTATCTGTTTTCAGTGGGATTTCTAGGTTTTTTGCTGGAATGCTGTGGAGGTAGGTGCTATTGAAACCAGTGGCCTTTCCGGAAGAGTTGTCCTTCACGATCACAAGTAGCGATGCAGAGTCTTTTGGCACCATTTTCTAATTACTCACTAAGTAGTATTACTCTGTTCCTCTCTGCTTGGAATGGGGAGGTTTTATTTCAGAGAACTGTTTTTTTTGGTGTGAGAGGGATGTCTCCCATAAGACTAGTCCTGTTTTCTTGATATTTATGGAGGCTAGTTACAGTAAGCACATGCTTCAGTATGTTTAAGTTATCTTCATGTAGGGCACTGTATTGAGCTTTTGCACTCAGCGTTGCAGTGCAAGATTCTTGCTTTGGTGATAAGGATTTGGCAAACCAAAATTATGCTGAAATGCTTTCCCATCTTGGCAGTACTATGGAAACATCAACTGACCATTAAAATACTCATTTGTTGTGACCTTTTTCATATACGGGAAAACCAAGACTGGGACGTTTGAGGATGGGATTCGTCTAACTGAGACACACTATGCTCTCTCTCCTAATACCTGGGTCTTAGGTATAGTGACAGGATCTCTTGTAGTCAGTGGCAGAACCTGTTCTTGGGTGTTAAAAGCTACTTGTTGCCATTGCCCCTTTTGGCTTACAGACAATACTGCTCTCTTGAAAATTGCCACCAGGGTAGTTTCTGTTCAGGCTTCCCTCAGAAGAACTGCATGCCGAAACGCTAGACTGGAAATAGATATGCTGTTAAAGGGACAGAGACAAGAATAAGGGCTTATTAGTAACATGATTTTTAGCTATTGTAGGGGGGTCAATGATGTGAATAGGTGGTTTCCCGTGGTGCAGAACTTGAATAACTTTGATAGTTTCAAAAGATGCTCTGACCTTGTTACAGCAAGGCATACAAATCACTCTCTCTCATTTGTGGGAGGTCTTTTCCACCTCTTTTTTCTCTCTTTTCTTTTTTCCTTCCCCCTCCCCCAAGGATGAAATGCCTGCACTTCATTCCCAGGACAAGCCAGATACAAACTCATGCCCTCACGCACCTGGCAAATATTTTCTCCCTGGTGGGATGGACAATGAGAACTGCAAGGCTAATGAGAGGGAAAGGGAGTGGATCCGCCCTGATACACCTAGCAAATGCACGTGGAAGCTTGGGAAACCGCTCTCTGCCTCCCCACATCGTCATACCACTCTGTAAGTATTACTTTTATTTGCTGATTTTCAATACAGCACTAATCCAGGCCCCCTCAGAGCCATGTGGATTTAACAAAAGATGACTGATTCAAATTGATGCTATTTAGCATGTAGATATGCTGGTGCTTCTTAATTTCCATGTATAAGTAAAGCTAAGAACCCAGATTAAGCATACAAGGAGCCTTGCACCAAAGAAGTGAAACTACATGGTCTGGAACTAACTTATTTTAAGTAACCTGGCAAGATGAAAGATTGCACTTTTGCTTGTAAAATAGCTGACTCTCAGCAGTGCTAAGCTACTTCATGCCAGGAGGAAGTGCAGAGTACTTCATTCTTGCCTCAGTAGTTGGCTTGATGTCTCATTAACCCTTGTTTTGGATCAAGGACTTGATTGTGAATTTTTATGCAATGGACATTCTTTTAAACCAAAATATCTAAAATAACTAGCCTGGTAAAGGGGAGGGAGAAAGCTGGTTGAAATAAAAAGCATTGGAAATGCTGTGTTGCTTTTGTGTGACCTGCCTGTGGCCCCTTTTGTGAATACACTGACTTTTTTTGTATGTGTACCAGGCCAGAGCCTCTGAAAATCCTGCCAAGCATCCTGAATAAAGTTGGCAATACACCCTTGGTGCGAATCAACAAGATTGGGAAGCAGTATGGGCTCAAGTGTGAACTCTGTGAGTACTGCTGCAGGCAGAAAATCAAAATAAGAAACTCTCTTTCAGAAACTTGGGTAGTCCTGGTTAGTAGTGTCATATAACCTGGGCATAGGAGGAGTGCAGATACCCTGCAGAAAATGTGAGAAAAATTCCTCTTTCTTTGGCAGATCTTCAGGTTTTTAGGACTTGGTCATCTAAAACATTTTTCAGTTTGTACTTCATAAGGACATTTCCTGCAGCTTTTCCATTAAAACTTTTTTCATAGAAAATAATTTTTTAATTTTAAAAAAGTTGTGTGAAGTTTTTGACTGCTTCTCATATTCAGAGTATTCATCAGTGTGTGTAAAATGCAGATCTGCAGTTACCACTAAAGATCACTGAAAACGGTGAAAGGGATGAAACTGTCAGTGAATGTTTGTTTTGTTTGTTTTTTTTAAACCCAACCATACTGGAGATACCTGGAGGCTCTAATCAGAGTGCTGAGAGGTGGTGTTTAACACCATTGAAGGGATTAATGCTGGGAGTACTGAAGTGAAAGTGTAGGCTGAACAAGGGGAGAAACTTCCAGTTTGGTCAGAAACTCTTCGGCTGGAGAATGTAGCAGGCAAAAGGCAAGGCATGTTAGCAGAGTTCTCTTTTCTCTGTGCTATTGCAGTGGAAGAGCCCTGGGGCTTTTTATACTAATGACTGGGCTGTAATAAAGAGGAAAGATGAAAGGAGAGGTCATATTTTGAGGAGACTGACAGAGTATGGGTTCCTGGCTTCTGTGGCCACCATCAAGTACCATACTTGCTTTGTTGTGACCCATAACAGTGGAGGTGCTGTGAACTGAATCCTCGTCTCTGGTGATGTAAAGTAGGGAGGTGAATTGGGCAGACACATTAACAGAGTTGCTCTTGCAAGGTATGTTAGGGATCAGCAGCCTGTTCAGCACGTGACTACTGTTTAAGAACTCTGCTTGGTTTCTTTGTTTCCAGTGGGAAAATGTGAGTTCTTCAATGCTGGGGGCAGTGTGAAGGACCGCATCAGCCTGAGGATGGTAGAGGATGCTGAGAAGGCTGGGATCTTGAAGCCTGGGGACACGATCATAGAGCCAACCTCTGGAAACACAGGTAGGGGATGGAGACACCCTAGCAAAATGTGGGGGAAAATGCTGTGGTGGTTTTCCTGGAAGAGGCAGACTTGAGATTGGAGCATGGAGGCTGCTTGTGCAAGGAAGAAAGGGGATCTCTTCCTGCCTGCATGGTGTAGGGAGCAGAGCCTCTTCCATCTTGCACAAGGAACAATTCCGCAGTGTCCTATGCTGACCAGAACAGCTGGGAAGGAGGTCCGCTAAATTGGCAGGGGCTCCTTGCTTTAAAAGAAAAGAAGTGTTAGGCTGGATTCACTAAGGTCTTTAGGTCCTATTCAGGAATTAAAGTCTGACTGAAATTATTGGAAATCAAGCACCAAAAGACTGGTGTGAATCTGAATCTTCCCCTTCTGTTTGGGAAGTCCTATGGTCCTTGTTCCTACACTCTGTCAGGTGAGGTGGGCCTGGTTTGAGAAACAGCCTTTCCCATGTGGTGCAGCTGTGATGGGAGATAAGCTGCATCCCTACAGCACTATCTGCTAACACAGCCCTTGCACACCTAGATTTTCAACAGATTCCACTTGGGTCAGTGTCTCTTCCTTGGAGGGATGGAGGAAGGAACAGTCCCGCTAGTCAGGGGCCAGGGCAGAGCATCTGAATATCCGAGCAGACTAACTCTGGGCTCCTGCGTCACAGCTGTTGTACTTCTGTTAAGCTGCTCTTCTGCTGGGGAGTAAACATACCTGGAATGTTCCCCCTTGAGCTAGTTAAATATAAAATATACTGCCTCCTCTGAGGAGGTTCCTGAGCTGAGCTACAAGCTACTTCCCTGCCTGATGTGTTCTGGAGAGGTGTCTTGTCCTGTTCTTTCCTGGGCATCCATCTACTGTTGCCTTCTGATAGACACAGGCCAGGCAGATCTTTCTGTTGTTCTTTTGATCCAGTCCAGCCTTTGTTAATGGAGGAACTGGGATGATGAGCTGATCTGTGACCAGTTCCCCTGCCTTCAGCAGAAAACTGGGAAGTCATATCTGTTGCCATTAGCTCAGCAGGTGCTCTGTGGGGGGAGCAGTGCAACTGAAGCCCTTGTGACTGTGGCTATACCTCTTGCCTGAACAATGGCATGTAGTGGAAAATATCCATATATTGCATTCCGCCAGTATCTGAGGTCATACTATGATATCCTGCTTTTTGGGTCAGTAGCTGATAAATGGTTCTCGTTGCCACAGAATTCAAAAGATAGAAAGAAGGCAGAACTGAAGGACGTACAGGACAGTTAGTTCAGAAAGCTCTCTTTTTTCATTTAAAAGCAAAGACCAGGGCAGAGAGTAACCTGAGAGAATTGGCTTTTGCTCTAGGCTACTGTTCAGAGCTACCGAGTATGTTAAGTGTGAGAGATAATGTCTTATATTTTTGTCCTCTCTGCATCCCTCTTCTCCTTCAGCCGAAGTCCTGTTTTGATGTTTGCTGCATTTCCAGGTCAGTAGCAGAAAGTACAAAGTGTTAAGAGTTCAGGTCTCAAAATGCTTTCTTCGTCACAGACCATAAGGGAGGATGCTGGATGGCTTCTCTTCAGTCTTTGGCCTTAGTGAGGCCGTTGCTGCTTTTTTGTTTTTGTTTTTTTATTTTGGCATCCATATTTATCTATAATATATTGGGAAAAGTTTTTTTTCCCCCCCTTCTAAATATTTAAACAGTACTTGAATTACTTGAAGTGCGAGTTATGCTTCTCTTACAGGAACAGTTAAAGATTTTTCTTTTATCACCCCTACACAATCCAGCACCATGTATAAACAGAGCCAGCTTTGAACAAGCAAGTCTCTGTGTAGGGTAAACTGCCTGTGAGGCATTGTCATATGCATGTGTTGGTATTGTGCCTGGTACCCAAAACAGCAGGGGAGGTGCCGTGCCGCCTGACCTCAGACACACATCAACTAACTTGATCTGTTTAGCTTATCCAGCAGAGAGATGATCTGATAACAGGTGTAAGCTTCTCTTCTATGGGGAAGGCACTTCTGAGCTTAGCTCTTCAGGTAGGCAGACAATGACAAACTGGAAGGCAGAAATCAGGCTGGAGGTGCAGATTTTTAAAGTAGAAATGAGGTGTCTGTCTCCAACATTCAAGGTACTTCACTGTGGTAGCAAGTTGACATAGTGCATTAGAATCTCAATCACACACAGTATCTAAATCATGTCTTTTTAGAAAGGACTTAGTTTCAGCACATTGCAGACTAGGGATTTAATGCAGAAGTGAGTCAATAGAGGCTCTAATACTCTTCTGACAGTATCAAAAAGATTGCTCTAGTCATCTTTAGCTTAAAGCTCATTCCCCAAATTACTTCTGTAAAAATGAAGTGGGTGAGACAGGAGGAAGGTGATGTGCATGTGGTAGAGCTAGCAGTTTGCACATGTCAAGTTTCCCCACCCTTGGCTAAACTTTCTGTTGGCTGTGATCCTCAAAGAACTAGCAGCATCTGTAAATACAGTTCTCCTCAGCAACCAGAAACGTTCCCTTTGCCACCCCTCTAGAGACACTATACTCAAGCCTTTGGTGAAAATCTGATTAAAGCCAGGGCATGCCAAAGCTAGCATTGTGGGTTTTGTTCTTTGTTGCTTCTCACTTTATGCTCTTCGTGTCTTTGCTTGCTTCCAGGAATTGGGCTGGCCTTGGCTGCAGCAGTGAAGGGTTACCGCTGTATCATTGTGATGCCAGAGAAAATGAGTATGGAGAAGGTCAGATCTGCTGTTATTTTTTTTTTTTAAGAATTAAAAAAGAAGCGTGTTTGCACTTGCAGAGTTCCTGGTGCAGATGAGTGCTATGGCTTTAGCAACGAAGGTGTAGGCTCTTGGCCTCCAAGTCATTGGCCAAGCAGAACTCTGCTGTGGGCCTATTGCCAGTGCCCAGAGAAATCCAGGCTGGTTAGCCATGGACAGAAATGTGTTTGAGACCTGTCCCCACAGCATTGTTACTTGGAAAACTGTCATATCTATTTTAAATACATGTGTCAAGGGAACTTGAGATTTACCTAGCACATTAAAGTAACTATCTGCTCCTGGGTTAGCTGTCTCTCACTGAGCAAAGGAGGACAAAGTAAGGCAATGATGAAGCTTTGAATATTCTTCTGTTCTGCACTGGGCTGAGCAAGGCCATGAGGGAGCCTGCTGAGCTCCTCAGGTTACACTGCGGGGTACTGGCAAGCATCTGAGTTGTGTCACCACAGCAACAAAGGGGAAGGAAAAGCCACCTGGGTAATGTCCACTTACCTTCACTGTGGAAAGCACAAAACATCCAGCTCCAGAGCAGGCCCTGTCCTGTGTTCCTCTAGGGTGGTGCTGCATCTGCAGCCAAAAGAAGAGAAGAGATCCCCTGTGTTTCATGGTTGAGGCAGCAATTTGCTGTCAGCAAAAACACTTACCTTGGTTCAAACACTTCCAATGTTCCAGCTGAAAGGAGTGGCACAAATGAGAACAATGTCCCCTGAAGGCCCTTACCCATTACTTGCTTTTACCTGCTGCGGAGGGAGAGGTACCACATGGCCATTTCCATGTGCCACACAGCACCAAAGGCTTCCCCTCTGAAGACAGGCCTTGCCTTAGCTCAGTGTCATAAACCTGCCCTCATAGCAGTTGAGTGGTGCATAGGGCCCTGGAGGATCTCCTTTGCTGCCTGTGTCCAAAGGAGGAGGTAAATATACGTAATTTGCACTTAGACATGAAATACTGGGCTATAGCACTGTTGGAGTGCAGAGCATATGTGGCAGGCATGAAAGGAGACAGTGTTTTGCCTGAATGAGGCTTCTCAATGTGTAGTACCTACAGGCCTGAAGGCCTAGAAGAGAAACAGGAATTTGATATCTAGCTCCCAAGTAGAGCTTAGCTGAGATCAAATGACATTAAGGATTTGAACCCGTGGCTCGGTGATGTGAGGTTGGGGTTTAGGAGAACTGCTAAGGAGGCTATTGCAGACCAGGTAAAAGGAAAGTTGTTTTCTTTCCTCTGCATCCCAATGAAGTCTCTGCTGTGAGAGTGTTTTGGGGTTTTGTGACCTTTGTATGTTACAGGTGGATGTCCTGAGAGCTCTGGGTGCTGAGATTGTGAGGACCCCAACTACTGCCAGATTTGATTCTCCTGAATCTCACGTGGGAGTAGCATGGAGACTGAAAAACGAAATCCCCAATGCACATATACTAGACCAGGTAAGAGTCAAGGCGTCAGAGGTGCAGGCATAGTGTGGGAGGAGGTATTGCAGCCTTGTTCCTTAGTTGTCCTTGGTTGAATGTTCAAGAGCCTAGGTGTGTCTCTGGAGGAAAAGATGTCCCAGGTCTGGAGCCGTAGTTGAGCCATCACCATGCTGTAGGGTAGCAAGCTTACATAGTCACTAGAGGGCAGCAACGAGCCTATGTTAGCAGAAACTGCATGGGTGGCTTTTTCTACTGAATTGGCAGTCCTGTGTGGAAGAATGGGTCCAAGGGTCATGTTCCTAAAAGAAACTGTCCCACAGACAGGACTGATCGTGGCATTGGAGGGTGCTGGCACCCTAGAACTAATCTTAAATTAGGTCATTTAGGAAGGCTATATCTCCCCTTGGGCATTCTGCCTAGGTTCAGATAATTGATAAGGAAACAGTCTGTGAAGAGTATATGTAGCTGTCGTGGGGCTTGGAGAATGTTTGTCATGTTCTTGAAATGCCTCACAGTGTGAATGTTGTCTTTCTGGTCTACTTAATGGCCATTCTGTCTTTCAATATAGTACCGTAATGCCAGCAACCCCCTGACACACTATGACAGCACAGCTGAAGAAATCCTGCAGCAATGCGAAGGTATGTTTGTTCTACTGCTAACCCTCCCTTCAGTGAGTCCCTAGTATTCTCTTACTGTTAGGTACTTGGAGAATGGGACCTGAGGTGGTTGAGAAATGCATGGATTTTGATACAGCAAATCAGGTACATATGCTGTGTGTCATTAGAGTTTCTATTCACTATTTCAGTAGTTGTAGTAATGATTTTTTTTTTTCCATTAAAGAGGCATGCTTTGGTTTTTAGACTCCTCGCTTGTGATCAGGTGGAGAAAGCAGTGATGCTTAAGTTACCTTTAAAAGAAAAAAAAAAAAGACATAGCTAGAGTGGCATGAAAGAACAGGGTCATTTTTCTCTGATCGCAGATAGAGGAATAGATATTTTTACATTCTCAGACCAAATACTCCATTACACTTGAAGCTTCTTCATTTAGGAGTCCTCAGGAGTACAAACTGCTCTGTGTTGCACTTGTCACCAGTAAGACCTTTTTACTCTGCAGGAGTTGCTTCAATGTTAACTCTAGGTAGCTGAATTGGAGTACCAGAAGTGATTGAGCTGTGGCAGCAGAGAGCTTTAGCTGGGCTAACTCACCCAGCTGAGGAATTGATTTGAGAGTTGTTGGAGGCATTGTGATCCTGCAGCCTACCATGCAGGCATTTGCCATATATGGTAGAAGGATGTCATATAGGAGGCTACTGACCTGCCTTGTAAAATAGTACAGTTTCTGATGGGACCCTCTAATAAGAAAATCAGCTATTAAATTCCTTCTCATTAAGGCGAGGACCATGTGAAGGGTTCTTCTCCTTCCCCTCAAAAGTAACTCTAGCTGTTCACAGGATTTGGCTTGTCTTTGTGGCAAACTTTCTTTAAGTTTGAATTAAAAAGAGTATACTTTAACAAACTGCCCTCCCACAAACTGAGAGTCTAGATGAGTTCTAGCTTTAGGCTTCTTGTTTGTATTTACTTTTCCTCATAGGCCAGGCACTGCTTGGTTATTACTGAGCTTATACCCCTGCTTGGTGGGGTGTTATTATTTTGACTGGTAAGCATTTGTTTTTATGTGTGAATTGGTGTGTGTATTTTTTATTAACAAAGCTATCATGTGGATGCACCATGGAAACTGTAGGGCGTTACAGAAGAATGAACTATCGTACCTGCACTCACTCTGAGTGCTCATGACCAAAACAGTATTTTTCACATGAAAATGAGAGAGTAGTTGTGTTAACAGTTCTCTCAATGGGTACCTATCCCCATGCTCTTGGCACTCATTCAGTAAATTAACTAATATAATGGGCTGCTCATTCTAAGTTAAAGAATGAATTATCTACATCAGCAAATACAGTAACAGGAAAACGACAGATGTCAGCTGTATGGGCCACCTCCGGCTCTGTCCAAAGTACCACAAATTGGTGCCTTGCCAGGCCACTGGCTGGACATTTCAAAACTACTGTTGAAGTACATGGGGATTGAGCAAGGTGGTCTCAAGGTAGGTCTCATAACACAGCTCTTGGGAAGCAAAGAGCCTTTTCTTGCCCATTTTTGTTAAAGAAAGTCCATACTTAGGTTTAAGTGGGGTTTTAATCCATCATTCTGGGGGGGATTTCACAACTGCCTTCTATCCCTCACCTTTAAACAGGAAAAATAGACATGCTGGTGGCTACAGCTGGCACAGGAGGTACTATCACTGGCATCTCCAGAAAGCTAAAGGAGAAGTGTCCAGGTTGCAAAGTAAGTGGCAAGCCTAAAGCATTTCTCTTTAGCGGGATGAACCTCAAATGCTCTACTTGGCACGTCCCATTCCTTGCAAGCCTGCCCTGGGTCTCTACGGGAAGCACTTGGATGTTCTCACTTAGAAGGTGGTTCTAGGCAGCGAAGAAAGGTTTTCAAACTGTCTGAAATCATCATGCTCTGGTCTCACTGGTGACCAGAGTTCAGGTTTGGCTCAGCAGATGAAAACTGGCCCTCAGATCCCTTTGTGGGGTATCTGAGAAACTTCCGTCTCTGGTGCGTACTGCAGCCTTCTGTTTCCTCTCTGACTGTGCCTTCACTAACGTGTGTGGAGCTGCTGAGTTTTTACCAAGTGAAATTTTCTCTGCAGACACCAACGTGTGTATCTACCTGTGTGCTGTGTTGGATTTCCTCACAGAAGTTGGTATCGTGTTTCAATCACGAATATTTTCCTATATAGGCAGGGAGTGGTAAACAAAATAAAACTTACATTTTGTGCCAAGTGTAAGCAGGTATTGGCTGTAATGATGCCTGACATGTGAATGAGGACAATCTTGTCTCCGGGAAACCCTGTCTTCTGTTTAAACCAAGCAAAACCCATGTAGAACAAGTGGTGCCCCTCACTTAGTGTCCACAGGCTGAGGAGACAGGATGGGTTGCCAAGGGGCCAGAAGCAGCAAAGCATTTTGCTCACAGGGGAGGCGAATGTTGCCAGGAAGAAATGAATAGGAGACTAAGTTGCTGTTAGCTTGGCTGTGTGTGCAGCCAGTGTGACACCAACAGCTGTAATGAGGCCAGCGCTCATGAGTAAATAGCTGTGCTCTCAATAGCAGTGTGTCATAGTAGCCAAAGTGGAAACTACTTCTCCAGATTATAGGTGTTGATCCTGAAGGCTCCATCCTTGCTACACCAGAGGAACTGAACAAGACTGACAAGACAATGTATGAAGTGGAAGGAATCGGATATGATTTTGTCCCCACAGTGTTGGATAGATCTGTAAGTCATGCTTCTTGGTTTACTGCCCTTTGCCCTCTATTGGGATACAGAAGTGAGGTGAAAGGTGGAGGAAGAATTTGGGGAGGTATTTCTTTGAGCTGAAAGGGGAGGGCTAGCGGACAGAACTATTCTTGTTCTTTCCATCAGCAAAAGCAGTCCTTAGAAGGCTTCTGCGCTGCCCACATTTGTTTTACAATGCTAGGTGGAAATGCTGTGAGCAGATAACATTTTCCTAGAATACAGTACTTCCCCCACCGCCGCCAAAACCAACCCAACGAATCAAAAAAAAAAAAAAAAAAAAACAACCACCACAACCCCAACAAAGCACCCCAACCCCTCCTGGCCAAAAGTGGTATGACTATGAACTGAGCAGAGCCTGTGTCCCTGGGAAGCCCTCCAAGAGGGAAGGAAACTGTTTGATGCTCTCTGTGGCTGTCTCACAACAGCCTGTTCTCACAGCGTGGTTTCAATAAGGAGTCTGTTGTGCTAATGTGATCGTCTTACCTTCTTCGCAAAAAAAAAAACACTTGGCATTTGGAGGATGGAAACCCTGGCACATGGCTCAGTAGGGCAGCTGCTACCTCAAAGAGCATGGGTTGAATTCACACTAGTTGTGTAGTTTCCCTAGCCCTCCTCATTTAAATAGACCCTTGTTTCTGTCTTCCTGCCCCTTCCCAGGCAGTGGACCAGTGGTACAAGAGCAATGATGAGGAGTCATTTGCTTTTGCACGCATGCTGATCCGAGAGGAAGGACTGCTGTGTGGTAAGAGCAGATGCGAATCCTTTTGGGTTTCTCTGAATAATATGTGGGAGGCTGAAGCCTTGTGCAGGTCAGGGAGACCTCCTTCCACTTCAGAAGCTGTCTTCCTCACCCTGGGGTCCTCCACTGTCTCTCCTCTCTTTCATTCTTTCTTATTTCACTTACGGTTTGACAGTTTTGCCTCTGATCTGCATTTTGGCAGGTGGCAGCTCAGGCAGCGCCATGTCTGTAGCTGTGAAGGCAGCCAAAGAACTGAAGGAGGGTCAGCGCTGTGTTGTTATCCTCCCTGACTCTATCAGGAACTACATGTAAGAACCTGCTTGCTTTCTCTCTGGGAGAAGGGTGAGGCAGTCCCTCAGACCTCCTTACAGCAGTGGCAAGTTGAATACGTATTTCTTATAGCACCCAGTTACCAAAGCAAGGAATGTGCTTGGAGCATAACTTCTGAGGTATCTAGAAAGGGCCTGATATGGAGTAGAAAGGAGCTTAGCCCTCTGAAAGCTGAGCTCCTCCTTGTGTCTGACTTCAATATATAACCATCACAGGTTAGCATCTTTCACAGGAAAAGACTTGCTTTCACTGTTTTATTTACTGGGGACCACTGGTATTATCGCACTCCTGGAAAGGGTCCCTGTAAGGCTGTCCGCTCTCTCTGCCCTCTCTCCACAGTAGAACACTGCACTATGTAGCAGCAGCCAGTGTTGGGGTGAGTTTACAGGTGGAAGTTTGAGGGCTTTGAGCTGTGCTGAGAAGAAGTTTCTCTTCTACCACATTGAAACATATCCCAAAACATGATGTTTTCAGCTGTGTTTCGTGGCTTCTGTTGCATCCAACACAATACCAGATGACTAGAAACTGCAGACAGACCTTGCCCGAGTACAGGTCGGCACTTCTCCATTCCAGGCTGTGTCTCAATCATTTTGCAAGGGACTGATGCAGTTGAAACTTTTTCCTATGGGATCCCTTTTTCTTCCTATGAGTGTTTCTTTTCAGTGTCCCTGGCTGGTAAGCTTGGATGACAAATGGCAGTATATTTTCAATTACACTTTAGTTGTTAGGTGGTTGTAAGCTGTAAAAAGTTGTCTCCGTGTGCTATTAGGTTTGCTGTCAGATGTTCAGCCTGCTGGTGAGCTTTTCACTTCCTGATGCTTTCTAGGTCCAAGTTCTTGAGCGACAAATGGATGATTCAGAAAGGGTTCATGAAAGAAGACGACCTTGTCAAAAAACCTTGGTAAGCATGTCATCCATTTGGATTTTCATGAGCCTATTCAGTTGACTTTATGGCAGTTGCTAATTTAAAACTCATTTCAATTTACACTACTTCCTTTGATTTAGCTAATCTTTCATGCTATTTTGTTGATGTATCATTGCAGCTATTAATCAAGTCTGCTTAAATTAGTTTATTTCCTTTCTGTTGCATGGCAGCAGAAGAAAACTTGGTACTTAATGATATATTTTTTTTTTTTAATGAAAAGAGTTGCATCTGAAATGAAAAAGTAGTATACAGAGAACCCTTCCGAGATCAGAGTTCTTGAGTGCAAAGCACGGCAAGTCTGCATAGGTGGGGGGGGATCTTCCCTAAATAGCTACCTATAATGACTGTACGTACGGCTACCTCTTTGAGTAGGAGCACAAAATTTTCACTCTAAGATATAAATAATGAAACTAGGGAGATTAGTACTCTCCACTAACTATCTGTAATCCTAGAAAGTAGATGAAATGAGGAAAAGAGTTTCAGTCTTAAAGCGTTCTCACACTTCAATGACTTTCTGATATTGGGGAGAAAACTTGAAAGCCTTGAAGCTTTACTGGCTCTGGCTGAATCCTGACTCTTCCTTGCAGCCTTTTGTCATTCCTGTAGTGTTGAAGGCCACTATACATGAACAACTGGTTCTTTCTCTCCATAACACTTGCATGGGTTTGGTTTTTATTTCATCCCCAGGTGGTGGAACATCAGTGTTCAGGAATTAAGACTCTCTGCTCCCCTGACTGTGCTTCCAACTGTTACCTGTGCAAACACTGTTGAAATTCTCCGGGAGAAGGGATTCGACCAGGTACCAGTTGTTGATGAAGCTGGGTATGTCCACATATATCACTATTAATCCATATGTATCACTTCCCTCACCAGGTCCTAAGGAATGTCTTTAAATGCTTACTAGAAGTATAGTATCCTCTCACTCATCTTTCTTCAGTTATAGTAACACAGTTCAGAAATGTTACCTTAAACACACCAATGCTGGACTTAATATGTTGTCATGCCAGCACTGTCCTGCTCTTCACATACCAAGCTTCTAATGATTATTATAATATACTTACTCAGTGTGTCTCTGCAGGATAATTTCATTGTTTTTTTATAATAGCTGTTTAACTTACCAAAGCAAAAATTCATATTTAAAACAAACAACCCCAAACCTACCCATCTCCACCACAGCTTTCACCCAGTTTCTTCAGAACGCTGCATTATAGTGCAATGTTGTAGTGACCCCTATAAACCAGGGTCTCCCCAGCAAGCTGGTATGCCCTATTACCCTGTAGGTCTCCTGTAGGACAGGCTGAATAATGAGGAGTTGCTCAGTTACTCTTCAGTTACAGTGCTAACTCAAGGGATTAATTGTTGCAGGTCCTTGCAACATCCTTGCAGGGAGAAGAGGAATGAGCAAAATTGAGGTGAGCATGTCTCTGGCCCTGTCACACCTTTCAAAAGGACAGATGAGGGCATAAAACAATGAAGTAGTGCTTTTCAAAAGCTCTCTCAGATTGCAAGAAGCTCTCCAGTTGCAAGGACTAGTGATACAAAGAGCCTGATGCTCAGAAGGGCCAGGCATCCACAGCACCTGCTGACTTCTGTGTGAGTCTCCAGAACTTCTGAGAACTGGACTCCGTCTCCTGCAGAGGCACAGAATCCAAGTATACCATCAATAATAGTGCTTTATACCATGAAGCAGTTGAACCGACTTCTCCAGGCTGGCTGAGAGTGGATGCTTTTATCTGCAGGAACACCTGAGGCTTTTGTGTTGTTTAGCCCTATCTTCTCTCTCTCCTTCCCCAGGGTAATTTTGGGCATGGTTACCCTGGGTAACATGCTTTCTTCACTACTTGCTGGAAAAGTTCAGCCTTCTGATGAAGTCAGCAAAGTAATCTACAAGCAATTTAAACAGGTAAGCAGGTATATTCTACAAGTCCTAATTCTCTGGTTTAAAGTACTACTGTAGGTGTCCTAACACTACAGTGGCATCACGTTGGGTAAGGTTTACCTGGGACCCTATGGAGCAGCTGTTACTGAGCACATATGTGCTCTAAACTCTGTCCTAGGTCATCCGATAGCTCCCAGGTTTGTGTTGTGGCTCTAAATTGTGCTGTTCCATTACTTCAGCAGGCTTTCTTCTAGCATGTTTGTCCTTTCCTCCTTGCCAAAAGCCCCGGCACAGATCTGGGCAATGTAACTATCCAGAGGAAGAGACGAGAAGATGTTGAAACAGCTCTTCTAAATAATTTCTGTATTGGCTAAAAACAAGCAACTGTTTGCCTTTTATATTAGATATCTTGCTGAAACAGGGGGATGGCTGCTGAAAACTGGTGTTGTAAAGATACGTGAATTTTGATGTTAGCCACTTTCACTGTTGATCCAATGTGGTGTGCCAAGATACCGCAACTTCCCAGCTGTATGGGTGCTCTTCTAAAATATATAAGTATTTTTGCTGTTGCTTTGCTTCTCTTGCAGGAAAAGGATTTTGTTTTTAACATGGAATGCTTGACCTAGTTTTCACCAGGCTTTTAGTTTCAGCACTGTCTCACAGTAGATGAGGTGCTGTATTCCGGAAGTATAGGTAATGCTTCCATTCAATCTACAAACTACCAAGTCCCCGAGGTTTAGAAAGGATGCTAGTTCTTTATGGACAAATGTAAATATATTTTTTCCTTCCCAGACAGATAATCAAGCATCAGGTGGAAATGTGGTGCGTAACAAAACTGCTTAGTTCATGTTCTCCCTCACTTAGACACCTTAAGAGTTTCTGGGGCTGATGGTGTGCGATCACTTCTGTAGCTACGCTGGTGTTAGCTGTAGTAGCCAATTCTCTGCGCTTCTGAGGTTGTGGCTTTTTCTGTGGGCAGCTTGAAGTTTCTCATGCTTCTTCAGTAAAGAACAGCTTAACAGTTTGATTTCTCTTTAGTCCTGACTTTTTTCTTGGTGGAGGATGGAAGGGGAGTGACACAAAAGTGGTGGTATTGCTAACATGCTAACTAAAAGCATCATTCATTGGTTATTTTCCATTTGAATTGATGATTTAATGGAGAAACATGGTTAAATGCACATAACCTCAGAAGTATTGTGGATTTTGCTTTTCTTACCACTTGTTTACTGGTGAAATTGGGAAAACATTATTTTGTGGTGATCTCTTAGAATGGAAAAGTAATGGTTATAGCTTTTTTCAAAGTCTCCAGTAGGATAGTACTCTAGGGCTTTGAAACACTAGTCACAGGATAATTTGCCAATCTAAACAAGTGGTGTGTGTTAGTGGAGAGGAGGGCTTTTCTTGTGGAGTCAGATGTTAGCTCCAGTGGTTTAGAGTCTCTTTACCCCTTCTTCCCCACAGGATTTTTGCATCAACTACTAACATCTGTTAGGTGTGGTGCAGACATAGCCTTAGCAGACTTCTTGTCTGCCTTTACCACAAAATAGGGCTGGGGCATGGTCTCTGAGACTTTCTTGTTACTATACCTAGTGTTTAATTGTTAGCCTGTTCCCTGGTGTGATTTTGGTTGGTGTCCTAAACCATTTAGCACTCTGCTAAACAACACAAGGCCTGGTGTCCCCAGCATTCCCAGTGGACCAGAGCCTACTTCTGGGGAAGGAGAGAATTTAGTTGTAGGGCTGTGAGCAGTGCCATGTCACTTGCCCTTACAGCCAAAGAAGCAGTCCCAGTCATGTGTAGTCTAGTAGCATGTGCATAGGCTAATTGCCTTAAAGACTTAGTAGGTTTAAAAAAAATAAAAAACCTAAATATGGGAAAACTCGTGGGCAAAATTTTTAAGGAGATCGAATGAGTGGTAGTGAGACAGGTGAAAACTCTGTGGGAGTTCTGTTAAATTTCCATTAAGCATTTCAAAACATGTTTATGTTTTCATGGTTGTCCCAGTGCTGCCTATGGGCTGCTTGTCCTGGTTATCTTTAGCCTACCCAGTTCCTGAAAACAGGTCTAGTGATTATACACAGCCAGATGGCAAGGGGTTCTACCCCTTCAGTGAGCTTTGAACTTAGGTTCAAAAGTTAGGCTTTGCATATACATTTGCTCAAAACTGCTTGTGAGTGGTGGTGACTGATAGTTGACTCGATGTGGCTCACAAGCTTAAGGATTGATGCTTCAGTATGCGCTATAGCCTGCTGGTCCCTTAACACAGGCTACTGGGAATCCTTTTAATCTCTTCTAACTCACAGTATGGAGATGAAAGCTCTGTGTTCCAGTGCAGCCCAAGTGTTCATGCTGTGGTATTTATTCCTCAGTCACAAGCTGAGCTCACAGCAGGATAAAGGCTTTTTTAATCTGCAAGTGCAAGACTTTTCTTTGCTGGAAATTCCTTTAATCCCCTTTAATGAAAGTATGTCAGATGGTGGGTGCTGCTATTACCTGGGGAGAGTAGTAATAGACCTGAGTAATAGACCTGTTGCTGCTGCTTAGTATGTTAAAGCATGTAGGAAGAACAGTTTTTATATATTCTTTCAAATGGTTCCAGCAGGTGATTAGCTAAGTGTTTCGGAAGGATCTGTATTCTTTCTGCAGAGTCAACACAGGGTGCTTTCTTGTTTAGTCTTAGCAAAGTTGAACTTCACTAAAAATGAATTCTTAATTCTCAGTTCCTTGATTTGCACTTGAATACAGTGATAGCTGAGCAATCTTCACCCTTGGTTTTGTTTTTGGCTTGTTTGGGCTTTTCTCCTCCCCTGCTGCCTTTGCAGATCGTATTCACTTCCACAGTGATTTGCAGCCTGATTCACTCACTTTTCCCCAGTCTTGCTAGAGTAAAATCACCAAGTATAATGAGTTTTATGATAAATTTTTTAGTTACACACATGGAACACTTGACCTTCTTCCATCATTAACATTTTTCAGATATTCAGCGTGTTCAGTACATTCATTATGTTTACGGAATCAGAATGAATAACTTCATGTAATGCTGCTTTTTTTTTGTTCTGTTTTCTTGGAAATTAGAAACAAAGAAAACTTATCTTTTAAGTTGTCCTTGATTTGTTAGTGTTTTACAATACTTCAGATGGGAGCATTATATAAATGCTGATGTATTGTTTTTAATACTGCACAAAGTACATGGGGATTATTGACCACTAAACATATAAAGGACTGTTTTATTTAAGTTTTGTAACTCTTTCCTCAGATTAACCTGAAAGACAACTTGGGGAAACTCTCTCATATCCTGGAAATAGACCACTTTGCTCTAGTGGTTCATGAACAAGTTCAGTGTGAGTATGATGTACCGCGCCTTGTAAGAGGTAATCTTTGAGTGGTAACAAGAAGTAAGTACAAGTGTGAGTGTGTAAACAAGTTCTGAAGAAGCCAAATCCTCTTTCTGTGTATGTAACTATGTGCTACTAACAGTTAGTAAGACACTAGTGCTGTAATTCTTGTAGAGTAAATGTTAAATCCATTAATAACCTCACACACTGTAACGTACTTCCTTTTGGAGCAAGTTACTGCTCAGAACTGAATGCCTGAGTCTAGTCCACTGTATAGTGGCTTTGTTAGTAGCAGTAAGCCAATGAATAAGCTCCTGCAGTACAACTGATCTTTGCTTCTTCCTACTCCTGTCACACGACTTCCAGCAGTTCCATCACAGTGAGCGTCAGGTTAGCTACACTTCAATTTTTTGCTTTCCTAAAGCAAAACCTTTATTACAACTTCATAAAGTTAGTAAGATCTAGATGTCAACACTGACACCAGCATCTCAAGACAGCTTAATATTTCTTTTTCCCGTTTATTCCATTTAAATAAACGGGAAACTTACTCCCCTTCACTTGATGTTTTTCCTCCTCTACTTTTCTTCATCCTTCTCAAAACTCTTTACACTGCCTTCTTTATGAACTGGAAATGACTAAATAATTTTTCAAAGCTAGGGTATATCACTGTTATATGTGAATAATGTTTTTTCCTGTTTTATCTTCCTTCCAAGGCAACTTGCAAAATTTCAAACACTGAGAAACTAGACTAAAAACAATATTAAGATTCACCAGATAAATTTTTCTAACAGCTATCTCAATTATAACTGTAAATGAAGAGTAGTCTTCAAATTTGGGCTTGTTCCTGATAATCTCCATAAGGGTGTGCTCTTGAGTCCGTGCTGACTAACTATTTATAAACCTGGAATCTCACTGGAAGCTTGCAATGGAACAAAGACTGAGTAAATGAAAAGTCCAGGACAATCCAGCTGGCTGAACAAACTGAGTATATACGTAGGCTAAACATCTCAGTACAGCCAGACTTTAGGAACAGGAAACATGGACCATAGATAAAGGGCCAAAGGTCACTTGGCCACTTGGTTCCCAGGTCAAAGGCTTATGCTCACAATGAAAAATTGCTCTCAATGCAGCAATTATTAGATGGTTAAGTTTTTTGGATAGAAATGGGAAAACGTTGTATTGTGATTTTTATACTAATTCTGTATTTGACAGTGGTGTAGGAAGATGGTAGTGTTGCATGTCCTCCTCTAGTGGCCCCTGGTTCAAACAGGGTAATATCAGTTTGCAGCTGTTTCAAGTAGAGCCACAGAAATTAATGTATGAGGAAAATACGCTTTATAACAGAGGATTTGGTTTGAATTTTCATGTCAAGAAGAATAGATCTGATGGACCCTTGTTATTCCTTCCATAATGTTTCAGTTTCTATATCCCTTTTGTTGAGGAGCCTTTCTGAAATGCAAATCCTTGCCACTTCCTGCGTGACTGTTGGTCAAGATGCCATTTGGGTTCCCCCTCAATGTACAAGGGTCATCAGTGATAACCAACTCCACCAACAGGCCCTGACACATGGAGCTGAGATGGCTTGGCACCTGCCTTTACAAACAGTGCCATTACAACCAAGTGGGATGGTGTGGTTTTGTGCCTCCTAATGCCAGAATCCTCTCTTTGTTTCTGTGTAGATCACACTGACGGTTCCTCCAGTAAGCGGCAAATGGTGTTTGGCATCGTTACAGCCATTGACCTGCTTAACTTTGTGACTACACGAGAACGGGAAAGAAAGTCCAACTAAAGTCAAGTAGCAATGTGGAGCCTCTTCAACAATATTTTGCAATCTCCAGCAAAGAATCAGGTTTATTTCTTAGGTAGAATGGTCTGTCCTTTGGGTGTGGTTTTTTCTTTTTTTTTAAATTTTGAAAATAAGCAGTTAGCTATCCTGGTGTCAGCTATACAGCCAGTGCGTTTTGCTGTATTGCACAGCTTCTGGGGACTTGTTTCTTAATCAGGTTACACAATATTTCTTATGAAGACAATTTATTTTTTTACCTATATATATGTAAAAACATTGCCTAAATTAACTGGTATGTTCCTTACTTGTTACGTCTAAAGTCTGGCTTTCTAAAACATTGTTTCAGATTCATAAAATGTGTTGAAATAAAGAGTTACTGAAGCAGAGGCCCAAGAGAGCTCTGGAAAGCTTTGGATTTTTTTTTTTTTTGTGCAAGGGTGTTAAGTTAGATAATACCTGTGTGGATACAAAAGTGGGATGGGGGTGTGGAGAGAAGAAAGGGGAGGTTCCCTTTTGGTGACATCAGTGTAAAACGAGGAAATGGTGAGGGCTGGAGTTGAGGCGTGTTTCAACCAGCTGCTGTGAGGAAAAACTGACTTGAGTGGAAGCCTGACAGTGAAGTGACAAACAGAAACTAGTGACTTTGTTCTACCTGGTGCACCAGCTTTCACTGCAAAGACAGACCTTTCTTTTTTTCCAATTATACTCTGATAAGTAAGCACAAATGAAAAGATTAAAAGGGAAGATCAAGATTCTTGCCTGAAGGTTTCTGAAAATCACGCTGTTTCATCTAGTTCCTTCCCCTTACCTCCCCACCCTCTTATTTATCTTAAAGTGCTTCTTTTTATGCCTGTTTTAGAAGAGCCAAAGGTAATCTGTCAAGAGCTGTAAACTCTTCAAGTCCTGTTCAAGTGCTCCTACACTGTAGCACCTTATTCCAGGAGAAAAACCCTACCACTAAATGAATTCACTGTAGCCAAGCTTGGAAGTAACTGGCAAACATGGTGTGGACTGGTACTGTCAAGAGCACACAAGAGTGACATGCAGTAGGTGTGTGCAGCTACAACTTTTCACCGCTTTGGTAACTCTGGATTCTTCAGTAATGTTTGACTTGCGTAGCCATGGCACAGTTTGGCATTAGCAGCCCTGTCCATACACTGCTGTGCTCTGGCTACCGACGGCTTGTTAGTGGTAATGATGAGTGGAATCACCCTGTGGTTACAGGAGAAAAGTAGCTGTTCGTCTTCATAAAGACTGCTCTAATCATCTTCTGACTGGCCTTTTGCCAAGAATAATTTGTCTCTGCCCATGGCAAGGGGGTTGGACTAGATGACCTTTAAAGGTCCCTTCCAACCCAAATTATTTTACAATTCTATAACATAGTTTTTGATCAGCAAGAGTGACGCTTTTCTTAGCTTGTCTCTTTCCACTGAAGCAGAAAAATACTATTTAGACTGGGGCTATTGCTGGTAGGATAGCAAAGTTTGGTTGTTTTGGTTTTTTGGGTTTTTGTTTTGGTTTTTTGGGGGTTTTTTGTTTTTTGTTTTTTTTTTTTTTTTAAAAAACAGAACAAAAAACCCTGAAGGGAGTTGTGAGTTAGCGAAGAGAAAACAAAGGGGTTATTTAAAAATCACAATTACTACCTCCTGTATATAGATTTCTTTCTACCTTGCTGGCCTCCCTGTGGCAATGGAATTTGCTGTACATTTTGGAAGTGCGTGAAAGGTGGTGGAAGCCGCCCTGTCCCATGTCAGTGCTGAGCAAAGACCATCAAGCAGAGCCTTTGCAGTTGTGCCTTGGGTGATGCGGGCCTGGAGGAGGGCGGCAAGAGCTCAAAGCCAAAGAAGTGCCACCAGTGATAGTGTCTGCCTGCCAGCAGTGTGACAGCCTGGTTTGTTTTCTAGCTGCTTCTCTCTAACCTTAAATTTGTGAATGTTAGAAACTTTGTTGTAATAATAAAAAGCCTCAGACTGATTTCTGGTAACTCTTTAATGCTATGCTGGTGAATGCTAAGTTTATTCTGCCCTTGTTCAGTTTATTTCCTTAGACATTGGCTGTCCCTTCAGATTAGGGCTATTACTGAAGTCACATGACCCATACTTACCTTAAACTATGGTTTAACCATTAAATTCATATACTTCTTTAAGATTTAAGACAGCTTTTCCCAAGGCTCTGGAATAAACTACTATAAAGTCTAAAAATGTGCAACTTCAATAATAATTGGTTCTAAAGAATGGTTGATTTAAAAAAATTTTTTTCTTTTTTTTTTTAACCCCTTACACTGTGCAGTGATTCCTTTCTCACTGTTCCCCCTCACTGTAGTAGCAACCCCAGCTTGGGTGCTTTGACTAGAGGAAAGCTGAACTAGTGCAAGTATCAGATGTGTGTACCTATGCCTTAAAGGCACTGTTTTCAAACCCGGATTAGCTTTTCTAGGCTGAACAGCTCTGTCTTACCTCTGTTGCTGCTTGAGCTCCAGAGCCTAATAACTCATCTTTCAAACTGTGTTTTTTTAGCTACTTCCCAAGGGGTCGTAAATAACTTAGCACAGTTAAGGGCGCGGTCTTTGATCTTAGCACATTTAACATCCCTTATGTTTCTCAGTGTAGAGAGAGTTTGTGAATGGCCAGTTGTATCCCTTGAGACATTAATGTTTCAGCCAAGCTTCTAAACTCATTTCCCAATTATTTCAATACTGTTGTCAGATATATTTTCATATCTACTCTTAATGTACAGGGAAGGCTGAGAGGGACTTCTTTCTTTGATTACTTGTATTTTCACTGCATCCTTTGATTCCCACACTTGTAAAAGAACTTGTGTACTTCACTAGATGCTATTAACTGAAGTGTTTGCTGCAATCATAGCTGTCACTGCTGCTAAATTTTGGCATTACTGTTGCTCTTGAAAACTTACCCTACTTGTTTTTATCTGATTTTTTTCCCCATTTTCAATCTGACCTTCACTGATGGTGGTGGAGAGGGAGGTGCTTAACTACTTGGGGTTTTTTCTTTTTGTGTCTGTAAAAGCCTCATGTCCCAGCCTAACTGAATTCAGCAAAAAATATGAGGAGGGTAGAAGGAGATTCCCAAAGTTGCTTTTCAGCATGGAAGTACAAGTTAGAGTTGGGGCAGCACCAGATTAATGGGTAGCTTTAGAATCATGGAATCATAGAATCATT